GGTACAACTGCTGGTGTCATGCAAAATGAAAATATTTTGAAAATTGTCTATAAACATGTGCTGGTTTAGTTTTGTGTATTCTTCTTACAATGCAAGCAGGAAGAACTTTTTTACTCAAATCCTTTGCTCCAGACAGTTTTACAGATTGGAAATCTACTTTATAAAGTACCTTACCTGAAATATTGCTGGCTACCAGATAAGCTTCGCACAGGGTGAAGAAACCTGAACCAAGTGGGTACTGTACAGAGGGAGCAGTTAATGTTCTGCTCATTTTGAAATAACCTCTTCTGCCCAAATGGGCTTTAGTTCCTGGGAATTTGCCAGAAGGTCATCAAGATCTGGGTTGTGATTGCCCAGCTGAAAAGCAGATTGCACACATGGTTGCATGGAAACCCCCTTTTTTACAGCCCTTGGCAAGGATAAAAATTCCTGCAAAATAGACAACCAGCAGTGCTTTTCCTTCCCTGCATCGCTTGGTAAGCTGCTCTATGACCAGCACAGCCCTGCAGATCTCCCAGCATCCTGACATCTCTGGTGCCGCAACCTGCACTACCAAATTCCTGCCCGATTCAAGAGCACAGGAGCAAGTCACTTGTGTGTGATGAGAGAGGAGACCCGGCCACCAGCTCATTTCTCCAGCCTTCAGCCCAAAGGAGAAGGCAAGGATGGAAGCCCAAAACCCTGGAGAGCTGAGTTGTCTGTGAGAGTAAGCAAGACTTTGGGTAGTGGGAGATCACAAAGAACGAGGGAGCAGTGAGACCTCCAAAAGTAAAATGGAGAGATGAAAGGGGGAAAAAGGGAACAGGGAAATGACAAAGTAGAGCAAAAGAGATGGGACAGAGCAGAGAATGGAGGATGAAGGTAAGGAGGATACTTCACTGGCAGGAGAGAGAGAAGTAGATAAGGTGGTTTTTAAAAATTGTAGAGCAGGATAGAGGGAAATGGAAAAAGGGGAGGGGAGAAGGAAGAGAAGGGGAAAGGAAAACGTACCTGGAAAGCGTGGTAAAGACCACACTGAAGGGGAAGAAAGAAAAAAAGAACAGAATGGCAACTAGGGAGGGAGTAAGACGAAAGTCAACTGATAAAAGTAGGATTGGTCTACACTGGAGTTTTCTCCTTCCCTTTTACCTTCTGTAAGAATACATTTGTCCTGCTTGTGAAGAAAAAAAAAAAAAAGCATAAGACTTTGGGCCATAGTGACCCTGCATGAGGACTGAAGTTTGGCACTGCGATGCCTCAGATTGTGTCATTAATAAGCAGGAACACTCTGCGTCAGTGCAAGCTGGACGAATTAGTAGCATTCTGTGTTGTCATTCAAAACACACATACCTGAAGAATTGACAGAAACCCTCAGGCCTTGCTTGGAGTAGCTCTAAAAGAGGGAACACAAAGTACTCCGTGTGCTCTGCAGAGCAGCACCACGCGGAGAGGAGAAGGTGTTCCCCTTGTGGGACAGCGCGGGAGGGTTAGCATGGAGCCGTGCAAATGCATTTGGGGCCCTGCAGATACTGGGTGTTGCCTCTCCTTCCAGAGCACTGGCGAGGCTGCCAATGCGTGAAATATAGACAGCAACAGCCACGTCGCTGCCATTGGGGGTTTTTCCTGCTTTTTTTTCCTTTTTTTGCCTTTTAAAAAATTATTATTTTTCACTCATGCTGCCTGTAGCAGTGATGGTTTGAGCTGGGTACAGCCTATCAGCAGCTTTGCTCCAGCCTGAGCTATCACTACACTGCTCCTCAGGGTGCACTGGAGTGTGTTCTGCATCCTAAATACCCCTGCATGCCTGAGATGATGGTACCTCTGACCATGTGTAGCATGACTTGTAAACCTGCTTTCTAAATAAAATTAGAGGTAGTTAGGCAGAGCTTTTCTGGGCTGCTCCCTTACACACCTATGAATTAGTGTGGGGTGTTTTGGGTGAGGGGCTTTGATTGGTTTCTTGAACCATCCTTGCTTACAAGGGTTTTGTGCAAGCGCTCATCATAACTCTGCTGTGCAGAGCAGAGTCTGGAAATACAGAACAGGCTCTTCCTATACTCAGCTACAATTTTTATTCTAATATATATATATATAAAATTCTCCTTATCACATACATTCCGTTATTGTACATTATATTTTCCTAAGTGGGAATAAATTGCAGGCTTACATCTAGTTCTCACTGTCTTTTATTGTTATTTTAAGCAGCAGGTAAGGTTATAATCCATCTGTGTTTGTGACCTTGAACAAGAATGGGCACTTTCTCATTTACATAATGCTATTTTTTACTGAGCCATTAAACTGCGGAAAAACAGGGCCAGCATGAAACATAGTCATCTACATATGTTAAAAAAAATAACTGCAGTAAATCCAACTGAAGAAAGCAGACTTTTAAAAATATGCGAGAGTTCAAGAAATTAAAAAGCAAATGGACTGTAAAGTCAGTTTCACTGCAAGCAGAACCTCCTAAAATCATAATCTAGACAAACACGTCTCTCTGCATTTGGTGCACTGGTACTCTGCATGAAAACTGCTTCCCTGAGAGTTCCTTCCTTCAGCAGCCTTCTCTTTCCCCTGGCACCCACAGCTCTGCAGCCCATGGCACAGGGTGCCCCAGCGTTACAGACCTCTTTCAAAATTTGCCTGGGGGGAAAAAAACCACCAGTACTGTGCTGGGCTGTTTGCATCACAAATAGTGTATGTTAGGGCTGGGGTATGAAATAACCTCGACTTTTTCATGTTGTGAATAACCATTACAGCAGGAGCCGTAATGACAAGACATGGTGATTTGGAAGGAGTGAAACATTAGATTTACTGCTGTTGATTCAATTTCTGAAATGGGCACTAATCTTGATCAATAGGCTTTCTGCAGCTTCTGGGATACATTTTATCAAGCTGTCACGCTGACTCTTTTGTGGTTTTTTTAGCTTGTGAGACGGTTAACTTGTGCCTTACTAAGCAGGATTGTGCCACGGCCTTTGCGGGTGGGAAAGGTGAGGGAACCCTTGCTGGAGACAGCCCAAGGGCGCGTGCTGCTTTTGGATAGCAGCGAGGCAGCTCCCTGCCAGGGCTGGATGCAGCTTCGGACGGACAGCTGCCTCTGTTGCCCATCCCTAAACTCAGCGGCAGAGCAGCGGTGCAGCCAGCGGTGTGCTGCCTGCAGACCTCAGGGAAGCATCCCCTCGCCAGGGTGAAGGCTGTGGGTGAGCTGTTGCTGAGGGCAGTGCGTGCTGTGTCTCTGTGTTACCGCCTCTCTACTTTGCAGCAGTTTCCTCGAGCGCTTCAGGAGCTGCAAAAAGCTCAGTGTGGAATCAGCTGTCATCAAACTCCGGTATGCCACCAGCGAAGATGGAAGCAGGATGGAGCTGGCAGTCCTGCTAGGGATTCATAGCGTACAAATCCAGCTCGCCCGCCCCGGTTACCCTACAGTGGCTCTGAAGCGAGCAGAGCTGCTGTCGCTCACATAGTAGCTGTGGTGCAAAAGCGGTTAGCTGCACAGCTCCCGTTTGTGCGTCTTTCGGTATATTATTCATTTGTATTACGGTAGGTCCAAATGGCCCCAAATGAGATCAAGGCCACACTGACTGGAGGCTGTGCGCATACTGTAAGACAGCTCCTGAATCCAGGAGCATCTAATCTAATCAGCTAGTGAGCGTCTGTACGGCAGAGTACAATTTATGCCTTTGACTTCTCCCACGGTTGCATATGCCATGGTTTCCTGGCCAGTATGCTGCTCGACGCAGATTCCCCCCAAGTGGGAAACAACAGCAAAGTGCTAAAACGACTGTCATTTGAGATGGAGGTTGGTTTCTTAAATGTGAAGCACATGAAATATGCTCTGTTGGCCTGTACTAGAAGGGCAAATAGTTCCTGATTGCCTGAGTCTTAGAACTGTACAGCTTTTCCTGTGAAGACCTGACCATTCGGGGTGGATTCCCCTTCCAGACTGGAAATTCAGAAAGAACACCCTATTATTTGGGGCTGAGACGGGAGAGTAGAGCGAGGCTTCGCATATGGAAAAAGTTCACAGGGGATGAGCTTTCGAAAAAGGCTCTGAAACCAATGATTATGCTAATCCAATAACCTGAGGGCCATGGATGAAATCCTGAATTCATTAAAGTTAGTGACAAAATATCCTCCCCGAGGGACTGGGGGAACGAAGCAACTGGCAATCCATTATTTCAAACTACAAGCTGATTAATGGGGTAATTTTTATACAGATCAAGGGATGTTTTCTGTCCCTTTCTCCCAGACCCAGAAATATATCCTGACTTGAAGCTTCATTCAAACTTCGTACAAGAGACGACAGCGTCCTGCTTATCGATGTGTTTATTTCTAAGAAGTGTTGCAGATAGATACAAATTTTAATGGTGTCTAGACTTGCAAGGTCTGTGGCTTCCTTCAGAAGTGAAACAAATTTACTTGTGCAAACTCAGTGTGATTTTTCAGAACCTTTCAAAGCACCTTTCTTCAAAACACTCACTAAAATATGTAATTATGTACTAAATCTTGCTCTTGTATCACAAGGTTTGAGATACTTGGAAATTTTTTTTTAAAGACATTTTCTGGAATTATGGTAAATCTCAGCTGTCAGAAAAGGTAAAGCTCTGGAGAAAGAAAAAAGCCTGAAATATATGACCCTTAAAAGCACATAAAAAGCTGGAAGGTGATTAAAACTAACTTATTAAAACATATTACTTTTATTGTCTTGCAAGGTCAGTCTCATGATGTCAGGGTCCTGACATTTGTGTATGCTTCAGCATGCCAGTTTTGGGGCAACTGTAATTTTCATTGAATGCTGTAGTAGGGAAGGGGAAGACATTGGTAGAAGCAAACTATTCACTCTGGGGAGTACTGGGACAAATCCTGGTTTATATGGTTTCCCGGCTGAAACCAGAAGATGTCTAATCTTAAGGTTAAAGCTCAATTGTCCAGATCCAGTCATGTTAGTAGATATCCCACAAGCTGCTGCTCTTTAATTTTGTCTCTGTTTTCTCTCTCTCTCTCTCTTTTTCTGTCTACAGTGTGATAATGACAGGTGCATATAACAACTTTTTTCGAATGTTTGACCGAAATACCAAGCGGGATGTTACCTTGGAGGCATCCCGAGAGAGCAGTAAACCACGAGCTATTCTTAAGCCCCGGAGAGTCTGCGTCGGAGGCAAACGGAGGAAAGATGACATCAGTGTTGACAGTTTGGACTTTACTAAGAAGATCTTGCACACAGCGTGGCACCCAACTGAGAACATCATTGCTATAGCAGCGACAAACAATCTGTACATATTTCAGGATAAAGTGAACTCAGAAATGCACTAGATTTATCAATATCCCTCTATATTTACAAACCAGCCTCTTGAGAGTTGTAGAAGGATGTGATCTTCACAAAAATTGTGGCTTCTGTGGTGGGATTTGTAGGTTGCATCCTTTCATCCCTCAGCCTGTATCATTATTGGTGGCAAGCCAACTATTTTCCATCACTGCAACTGTATGAGTAAAAGGCACGACTGCAAATCCAGTTCTGTGGTCTGTATTGGTTCCTTTAAACAAACAGGGGTATTTATACATTTTGGGAGTGTTCCTGAGGAGGGTTGAGACTCCTCCATCAGTCCTTTCGAGCATCTCAGTGGTTCACAGGACCATGTGTTCTGGTGCGCTGCCTGCTTTTGCAGTCCACAGCATTTACCACATTGTTAGAGCTTTTTGCCTCAATCTCTTGATTATTATTATTTTTTTTTTTTCAGTAACATTTTTAATTCTTTCAACTAAGCCAGACTTGTTTGAGTGAATGAATAGCCGCATCCCTTTAGAGCACGTGGCACATTGAAGGGGCCTCATGACAATTATAACTGGAAGCAGAATCCCAGCTGGTGAAAAGATGACCTGTCTCACCCATCCCAGTCCCTTCTTTACAACACCCTCTTATGTATTTATTTATTCACATTACTAACTTTGTGCTTCAACTTCCCGAGTGAGTAAGTGACAGAATGGCATAGTTACTCAACCAGCTTATTTTAAGAGTTTCATTCTCCATAGGTCTCTTTGCTCTGTTTAAAATGGTAACTAGTATCTTCATCACGTGGAGGACTATTAAAAATCTTGGTATTGCCACTCCAGAGGGACTGGCTGGTCAGACACAGCCTGGCAGATGACACACTAACCCGGCCTACCGTTTGGGGGTTGGAGTTCTGGAGACTTTGGCTAGAAGTACTGTCCTTGAAAGCAACGACGGACTTCAGTGGGAATAAAGCTACATCACTGCTAGACACTTCAGAAAGTCCCTCGTTTGTTGATTGCAGCATGGTTATTTTAATCCTGGCCTTCGGGGAATACAGGCAATGCCATGGTATCTGTAACTGTAAAAAGAATGGTACTGGGAGATGCAGCACCGCTCAGTGAATCTTAACGCTTTTAAATAAGTCCACTGCTGGGTGACAAAGTTATTCCTGGAGAAACATGAAAAGTCAAAAACTCCGAACCAAACAGTGTTAGATCTATCTCTGTTTTAAAAATGAATAGTGATGTAAATGGAAAAGGAAAGTACACGCAATCGGTGTAGTGCATGCAGGAATTATATGGGAACGCTGCAGTGGGCGGGGAGTTTTCTTAATCCAGGAAAAGAAAGTTCTGCTGCATCCCTAATAGCTCTGGCAGAAAAAATAATGTCCCAAAGGATTTCTCCTCAAACCACAAATAAAAGAGCACAACTCAGATGACCTGCTAGTCTGCCCATATTAAAAATCCTCAGAAAAAAAATAAAGTCTTTAAGCCATGATGCACTGATTTCTTGGTAAGTGGAGAATGTACTGATGAAGGGATCTGCATGCTTTTATATTTTGCTTTGAGGGAAAG